ATATATATATATATATATCCTGGATAAACTGGAATTTTAAGCAACTGAAGAAAGCCAACCAAGTCTGTTTTAGTTGATCCTTGAGATGTTGACTTTTAGAGGCTACAAAGTTCTGCCGATTAGCAACATCTGCCAAAGTATCTTCATGGGGCTGTAAATTTAACACTTGTATTACCAGACCTGTTGGTGAGGAAAATACATTAGCTCTCCAGACAGGTTTGGGAAATAATTCTTGAAGCCTGCCTGCTATAAAACATATCTAGTGTTAAATAAATTGGATGCTAATCCAGATGCCTAATTACACTATATCTGCTTTAAACAAGATTTTTAAGAGGAGTAAAAGGGTACTACATTTTGTTTATAAAGCTAGGTTCTAACTTGGTGAACATTCTGGTCAAATGATCCCAGAAAAAGTGAAACAGATCAGCAAGTGATGATGGTGGTAGAAAATGGTTTATCACATTACTTGTTTCTTAAAGACAATAATCTAATTTGAACAGCGCACTAGTCACACTCCGGATGTCTGCACGTATTTTGCGAGGCTTCTGCGAGATTGATAAGTCATTTCATCTCATGTGATTGAGCTCCAGGTCTTTTAGGCCTGAAAAAGCTCTAAATGTTTCAACAAGCACTGACTCATCCTCTGGGAATTCTACTGAGCAGAGTTAGTCTGATTCAGAGCCGTCGCTGGGGGCCATTTAGACGGGGCGGCCCTTTTTTCCCCAAGTGGTTGTTAACTTGGAGATTTTTCACATCGTCGGTTTGCCTTTAAGGCAGGAAAGGAAAAGAGAAAGCACAATTTAAACACAATTCTATTTTATCTTCACTATCTGTGCTATTTGTGAAAGTCTTAAAAGGAATATTTGGGTCGTTTGAATCCACATTTCTTCCATCCTTCATTCTATTGCAGTTACCTGGCATCAAAGAATCTCTGCTTTGTCTTCTGTGCAGAACATTTCTTCATGCTTAAGAGAAATACAACAAATGGGCAAAGCTTGAACTGATTTGATTAAAAAAAAAATAATTTTTACCCACGTTTTTATTTTTACAGAATACAGAGAAGTTCAAAGGCATGAGCTTTACATCGCCTTATTTCTGTCTGCAAAAGTTTGAGTGCAACAGGATCTAAAAAAGCATCATCCAACTTATTTCTGTCTGACGGAAGAGATTTATTTGTTTATTGTGTGTGTGTGTGGGTACATTCCCCCTCTTCTTTTCTTTGGCGCTGTGTCAGTCGTGGTTGGCTTTAAAGAGTAGAAAAATACTCTGTATGTTCAGCAGACATCCTCTAGCCTAGTTTGAAGCATGTTGCTTTTTAGTAGAACTGGTTTTGCTCCCTGAGCAATTAAATATGGCTCGAAAGATTAAAATTATTCCAATAATGTAATACTGTGATGATGATTATGAGCCAGTCATACATGTCTCAGGATGAATCACACAATTAAAAGCATTTACAAATATTACTTCTTCCATTCATACATCCAAACTGACTTTTATCAATAAGTTTTGGGTAGTTTTCCAAAGTTTTCTTACAGCCAGGTAATTACCGCCTTTAAAAGTAACGTTGTATAAATTTAGCAGGAAGGCGGGAAAGGAATTCAGCCGAACTGTTGGGTGAGAACTCGTGAAGGTAAAACCTTGGCAGGAGGTTTGATTAGGAATCCGATAACAAACGGTTGCACAACTCTGCTTTCTTCCTTGTCGGCCAAGACAAATTTCACTGCCGCAGTTGGTGCACATTAGCTAGATCTGCTTGTTGACACAATAAGTAACAAAGCTATATAAAGAGTCTGTAAGAGGATTATAAAACATCACATTTCTTTTCCAAAGAAAACAAAGGCAGAGCATACTGTCAACTAACCCATTTTATCTTAATTTTCCCCACCAATACTTCAGATTTCGTGCTGTACACCAAGTACACAGGACGATGTAACTGCAGTCGAAGCATGAGTAGTTCAAGTAAACATGTACTTTGATAAAGCAGCAATTTATTTTAGTAAATTGTGACAGATTTGACTTCAGTGTCATACATGTGTGTCCATATCTGTCACAGTCCAAAACTGTTTATATAGAAAATCAACACTTTGCAGGAGAAAAAAGAAAAAGATCGTTCATCCACTAATATGACTTAAACTCTTGAGTCACATTGGGCAAAATCTCTGAGACTGAAATCTAATAAACTTTTTTTTTTTAATCTCCAACAGCAAATACACGAAGGATTAAAAAAAACAACAACAACAGAATAGCATATTCTGTTTTTAAAAGAGGTCAACAAAATTCCACTGTCTATAAGAAGTGAGATAGGGGAGCTGCGGTTGCTTCATTGCCGCAGTCTCGTAATCCTGAAGCTGCAGGTTTGAGTCCAGATGCATCTGGAAGGAGATCCACTTAAAAAAAACTGACACATTTTTGTGCAAGATCGCTTGCTGGGCTGGGGTAACTCCTGAAGAAGAGAGCAGCCAAAAGAACAACTAAGAGCTGGCTGAAATAATTTTTCTTTATCCATACCAGTGTAGTTTACATTTTTTGCAGTGGGTTTACTGTGCTTAGAAACCAAAGTACACTATCGTCAATTTATTTTGATTTTTAAACATATTGAACATTTCCAAATTTATCTGATGCTTATATTTGAATAAATGCACAGCAAACTGTGTACAGCTGTTGGCTTTGTATTAAAAACATGTTATAAAATTTATAAAACAGTATCAAAGCAAAACTTGTTCAAGTATTAAGTAGTAAGTACAGAATGATACAATAATTTGCTGGATAAGCAAATGTAATAAACAAGTGCTGCATACCGATAGTTTGTTACGGAAGCGTTTAACTGCCGTTTAACGTATCAACGACACATGTCTAATGATATGTATCATTAGGCACTTTTAAATGGATATACTGAAATCCTTAAGCTTTTCTATTGGGTAGACTCTGTATGCCCGTGTATCGCGTAGACTACACCACTGATACATACATTAGCCTTAACCGCTGGTGCCCATGTCCTGTAGTCACTGTGAAAGGCAGGGTGCACCTTGGACAGGTGGTAAGTCCATCACAGTGTTGCCTTTTCTCATTGTACTCGTTTTTTTTCCCCAGTTGCAGAATTTCATCGTCATAACGCAACAGTGGAA